TCTTGACTTTCACATAAATGAAATCATACAGTTTTTAGTCGTTCATGTCTGACTTCTTTCACTCAACAATATATGTGTGATACTTATCCATGTTTGTGTATATAGTAATAGTTGATTTTTTCCCACTACTCTGTTATGTAAGTATACCACAATTTATTTATCCATTCTATCATTGATGAACACTTGGATTGTTTCTAGTTTCAGGATTTTATAACGAAAACTGCTATGAACATGCCTTTTGAAGGCATTAGCACTCATTTCTGTTTTTATACAGTGTGTGCATGTTTGGCTTTAGTAGATGCCACCAGTAGTTTTTTCCCCCTCTACTGGGCCTTTTATGAAAAAGCAAAAAGGATAAAGCTGAAAGTCCATGGTCTTTCTAGTTTTGCATAAACAGTTGGGAAAATGCCTGATTAAACTTAATATGAAGAAAATTCCAGAAGACTATAATCTGAGTGTATGGAGAACTAGTTAGGAAAGAGAACTCTATTCATCTGGCAGGACATTCTCCATCTTGGTTGAAATAATTGTAGAGTTTATGACTTAAAAATTTAATCAGCCAGAAGTATATGCCTGAACTGTCAAATGAGCCTAGGAGCAAAACTGCTTATAAATGCACCCATCAGCAGTTAATGACAGGACCCTCAGGGTACTTTCTTGGGACAGAGACCAAACTTGATTCATTCTAGGTAACTAACAGGGTATTGAGAACATGCTAGGAGAAATTCAGAGATCAAAAGCTAAAATTTGGTTATGTGGGAGTTCAGAAACTTGTTCTGTGAAGAAGAGGATAAAAGATTTGACATTATTTAGTCAAGATGTGAGAAAGTGAAGAAAAGATGACTTGATCTGCCCTTTAGATGGGAGAATTTTGTTAAGAGGGTTTGGATTGATTTTCCTGTCTAGAGAACACCAGCTTATAAGCATTAGACCCTTCTCTATTTGTGTTCAGAGTACTTACACCACTAGAAGAAAGCACTACCTGATATTAAGAAGAACTCTTAGCAATTGTCTAGAGAGGAAATTATGCAGTTCTTTTGCTAGAGATTGTCTAGAGACAATAACTCTCTGCCTGGAGTGGTAGAACATTTGGGGAGTAATGAAGACAGGACAGGTAACTTTGGGAATCTTTTAATCCCAGATATTATGTATATTGTGGTAGAAAGGGAGTTACAGCCAAAGACAAGTATCAGTGTGATGGAAAAAGCTCAGCCTTTTTGGTAACTTGTAAGACAGTTTCATTTTAGAGACGCTCCTGAGGGAATTCTATATTTTGACACTTGCCTTGTCTGTTAGCAGATGCTAGAATGATATCACTTAACCTTCTTCATGTAGATATTGACATGCTTCCCAACTCACTGTAGTATATTGTCTGACCAGAAACTATGTATTTCACTTTGTAGATCATTTCTCTTGTGATTATGTCTCTTGAGAGACATCTTCCTAGTCTATGATGGGCAACGACCTTGTCATTGTCCACTGGAAACCTTTCTCAGACTGACAGCTCCCTGTATTTATGATTTCCAATCTAAAGGAATCCCCTGAGATACTACATGTTTCCAGTTTGTTCTTGATCCAAGTAGCACCTTCCTGAGGAACTGTCAAGATTAAATTAGTTAATCCATGTAAAGTTCTTAGAACTGCCTGGCACAGAATAAGCAATCAGTGAGTGGTACCTGTTGTTTCTGTTCTTTCTCTATTTCATGTTTGACTTCTCTGTACATGAACTGCTCAGTTCTGAGAAATGAGAGGGGAGGTGAAGCAGGCCAGTTGGTTGGACCTACGGAGAACAGATGCGATCATGCAGAAAGATTATAGTAACTTCAAAGTATAGTTTTGGAAAATCTCTTTAAATCTAACCAACACACAATGGAAAATCCCTAAAGAACCAATCTAATTATTCAATTAAATGGAACCGTTATGCTGACTTTTACTACAGAAGGCGAGTATAATTTAGAAAATGGGGCATTTTAATTCTCTTTTGTTTTCCAATTAGCACAATTGCTCTAATAGGGAGTACTCATGCTTGAGTATATGTTCTTCCAGTATGTCCTCTGCACATAATTTCAGTCTCTCTCTCATCAAAAGTGGAAATCCTCACCTGTTGGCACAGAGGTTTCCGTATTACAGTGCCCGTGCTGCCCAGGTTATGGCGTCAGAGCACACACCTTCCTGCCGTGAAAGCCGACGTGAGTGGCACGGGCCCGCCACGCAGCTCTGCTTTCCCTGCCGGGTATAATTAGGATGCTGAAGGAACGGCGCTCTCGCTTTTTTGCTGATGCCAGCTTACCACAACAAACCGCATGAGTTTACTCTTAGTGGAAAGTGGTAAAGAAAATGCTAAGAACATTCATTTTAATTGGTCAACATTATAGGGACTTTAGTGCCACTGTTTTATAGTCCTGTGTTTTTAGACTTTTTTCCTGCCACCAGCCATCAGCTTATTATGACAGATATTCTTATTTGCTTCCGATTATTCTTTGGACTACTGATTTTTATTTGTAAACTCTAAACCTATTTATTATTTTATTTATATAACAATTTCATCTGCCCTAATATTTATTAAATTCTCTTTATAAAAGACTGACACTTTCACATTGGTGGGGAAGTATTTGTTCATCATATGGATCCCGAGACTGGGATTAATAGCAGAGGTTTTTTTCTGCCTAAATGTTTGCTTTGATGCTAATGTTTCTTAACTTAAAAAAAAAAAAATGGATCATATGGGTAGGATGTGGTGGTGGCGGTGGGATTGGTGGTGGAGATGGCGGTAGGAAGGGTTCTTTAATGTAACTAGACATGTTTTCTTCTGCATTGATTGGACTTATTCCCCCTGAACTCTGGAAAATGTTTAATTTGTTACTCTAACATGAAAAAGGTTACATAAAATATGAGCGAATGGTAAAAGGAGAAACATGTGTTTTTAAAAAAGCAAACTTACTATTCTTAAAAGTTTTGGGAGGATCCAGGAAGTTAGACACTGATCTGAGTAGAGGAAATACGGCCTTTGCCTTGGAGTTGACATGACACATTTTAATGGGGGAAGATCACGGTAGCCGTTTCATCCCGTGTGCCGCAGGTGAAGCTGTCAGGTGTGGGCAGCGGCTGAGGTTCCTCAGCAGGATCTCGTTCCCCCTCTTCTCGTCATCACATCCTTCTCGCATAGGCCTGTGGTGAGAGCGCAGCCCAGTTCCTCGGACAGTCTTCCCCGTAGCACTTTGTTTCTTCAGTCAGACTGAAGTTAATAAATTAATACTAGAATGGGAAATTATTTTATACAGAGAGATTATTTTGAAGAGGCAGTTATGCAGATGAAGAGTAAACTTGCCTAACTAGGTTTTTTTTTTTTTTGAATGGGGAATAATAGGTAGAGATAAAAAGAGAAGTTATTTAAATTACAACAACTAGAAAACCTTAATATTAGGGGGAAAAACCCACAAATCAGGAAATGTGTGCAAAAGAGGATTAGTTTATAATGATATTAAGAAGGTCCATCTATATGAGAGAAAAATAGTCATTTAAAATTCACAGTTCTAAAACAACTATATGAAGTATGAAAATGGGAGGGAACTCAATTCTAGGAATTACTACCCAAATTTCTAGAGACTTCATAAGACCACAGACCCCTTCCTTTCCATGCAGCTACTCTGTTCAAGCCTGCTCACTCCTGAGAGAGAGAGAGAGGAAGAGAACTTTCACTTTTGATTTCAATAAAAGCTGCTTGCTTGGGGGCAGGGAGTGAAAAGAAACAGTTATATCTTTTTTTTTTTTTTTTTTTTGAGATCTGGTCTGGCACTGTCTCCCAAGCTAGAGTGCAGTGGTGTCATCATAGCTCACAGCAACCTCAGTCTCCTGGGCTCAAGTGATCCTCCTGCCTCAGCCTCCCAGCCTCGAGTAGCTGGGACTATGGGCGCATACCTCCACAGCCAGCTAATTTTTAAATTTTTTTTTGTTTTTTGTAGACACAGGGTCTCACTATTGCTCAGGAACTCCTATCCTCAAGCAATCCTCCCGCCTCCACCTGCCAAAGTGCTAGGATTATAGACGTGAGCCACCATACCCAGTGTTGTCTTTAAATTAATTTGGAAGTTGTTGTACTTTTAAAAAGCATTGAAAATCAAAAGGACCAAAATCAGAGCTAAAAGAAAATAAATAAAAGTTGTTTCTAATTTTATGAAGACTTGATTTTCTGGCTCAGGTACCAATTATTCCTCTATAACACTCTCAGAGTAATTATGAGACTGAGGATAATAGCTACTATCATTTATTGGACATTTGCTCTAGGCCAGAAATAGGCAAACTATGAGCCATTGGCCAAATCCAGCCTTATTGGAACACAGCCATGCTCATTTTTTTATGTTGAGTAGTTGCAGCAGGGACTATATGGCCCTGCAAAGTCTCAAATATTTACTATCTGGCGCTTTACTGAAAAAGTTTGCCAATCCTAGATTTAAGACAAGCACTGTTCTTTACAACAATTATGTCATTTAATCCTTACCACATCCCTAGGAGGTCAGTTCCTTATCCTTCTTTTATAGATGATGAAATTGAGGCTTAAAGATATTAAGTGAGTTGCCCAAGGATACCTAACTAAGTAGAAGAGTCTAGACTTGAAGCCATGATGTCTGATTATGAAGACCATATTTTCCCTCTATGTCCAGTTTCTTTGTCATTAGCCTTCAGAGAGGTGGCATATCTTGGTGGTTTAGGAATCTGAGGCTAGGTTGCTTAAATTCAAATGACCTTGAGCAACAAATGACTTAACTTCTTTGTGCCTCAAAATATAAATGTTAGCAAATATTACTCTTAGGAACCTCTTTTTTTGTAGATGAGATTCTAAATCTCCAGAAATGCTTTTAAGCTTTCCAAAGACCTGACTTTACAAATTCCTACAGCATAACTTCAGTGCTAGACAGATAGCCCATATTTCAGAGGGCTGATGGCTTTCAAAAGGCAAAATCATGAGTCGGATATTCATTTTTTTCTCTCTTAATTCTCAGGTCCTTCATAGACAGCAGTCTCAGCCGGCCAAGGAGAGCTCCCCTCCCAGAGAAGAAGCGCCTCCCCCACCTCCTCCGACTGAAGACAGTTGTGCCAAAAAGCCCCGGTCTCGCACAAAGATCTCCTTAGAAGCCCTGGGGATCCTGCAAAGCTTTATTCATGATGTAGGCCTGTACCCCGACCAGGAAGCCATCCACACTCTCTCGGCCCAGCTGGATCTCCCCAAACACACCATCATCAAGTTCTTCCAGAACCAGCGGTACCACGTGAAGCATCACGGGAAGCTGAAGGAGCACCTAGGCTCCGCGGTGGACGTGGCGGAGTATAAGGACGAGGAGCTGCTGACCGAGTCAGAGGAGAATGACAGCGAGGAAGGCTCCGAGGAGATGTACAAAGTGGAGGCCGAGGAGGAGAGCGCTGACAAAAGCAAGGCCGCGCCTGCAGAAATCGACCAGAGATAATGTGAACTCCTACCAGGCAAAGCAATACATCGGTCCAAGGATTTCCTGTTTTAGTTTCTTTTAAGAAAATTTTTTTTCGCTTTATTTTTGTCTTTTTATGTCTGTTTGTTTTGTTTTTCTTACCCTTTTTGATATTTCTTTATTGCACAGGATACACCTATGACTGAGTAAGTTCAGTATTTCCGCGTCAGACATCGCCTTGGCAAAGACACTAAAGTGTTACACTTTTACATTTGACTGGATCATAGTAATTATAATCACAGGAGACTCTGCCTTCATTATCCTTGCACTTACAGAAGTTACATCAGGCAAGTTCCAGGATGAAAAGACCTACGAAATAAATGAAGGAAGCTACAAGTGTGTGTGTATATGTATATGTATATATCTCTATATTTACATATATATATTAAAATTGCATGGGACAGAGAACTTTACAATCCGAAAGAATAGACTGTGAAATGAGTTCTTAAAGAAAAGACTTGTTTATGTATTAAAAAAAAAAAACCACTTCACAGTGAGTCGCTTTGGCTTTTTGATAAACTGCGGCCTGCTCTCAGGGTGGGGTGACTATTTTTGAATTCCTATTTATTTTTTGTGTTTGTCCCTGATTTTTTTTTTAATTCTATGGCTTCCTATCTGGCAGCTTAATGGGTAATTTTTGAGGTATGTATTTAACAAAATAACACTGCCAAAAAAAAAAAAAAAAGAAAAAAAAAGAAAGAAAGAAAAAAAGTAAAGTGAAAAGAAATCAGGGCATGTTAAAATAATACAAGTCAAATTACTCTTAAAGACACAATGCACACTTAAAATGACTCAATAAAATGACTCGATACATTCCGTTATTCAATTTATCATTACTGTAGTGAACAGATGCATTTCTGTGGAATTCCAAATAAGTAAAACTGAAATTCAGTGCAGAGAAAACTTGTCCATTAGTGCAAGTCTTGATAAAATAACATTTGACATTGGACGTATAGATTTCATAGTATAAGCCACATTTTGTTGTGAAATTATTTACCTGCTTGTGGCTTCAAATCTTAAAATTAATAAGCCTGCTCATTTAAAAGTTGTTTGTTGCTGTTTTTTTTTTTTCTGAATAGAAAATAGTTCTTCAATGTAATGTTAAGTTAGAAAATAAATTGGTGCCCAGTTAAAGGGGCTCCCTTTCAAATAAATCTCCATCCTTCCCTCTCCCAAAAGAAGTTTCTTATTTCTATTTCACTTTGGGCTTCCTCTTCTTCGTACACATTCCATCCACCTAGCTAAACATTTTCAGTCCGTGATCTCTCCCATCCCTTTTCCTGGTATGGCAGCCCTAACAAGAACCTGTTTTTGAATCATTGTGCAGCTCCGGGCAATAGAGTTCATGAAGCGATTTCAGTAGAATCACCTACTTGTCCTAAAAGGAAACATTGTCCCAGTTACCTACATAGCAATTACCTTACGTAAAGCAGAACTAATGCTGACTGGCTGTTTAGTGGGATGAGCATTAAAGCTGCAATCTACTATAGTTTTCCAAATCTCCTTCAACTTCCTGTCAGAAACACCAGTAGCATTACTTTCCACTTCTACTTACAGTAATTGCAAGAGGAGACCTCACCTTCAGGACTGGCCTAGTGAACCTAATCCATGCTTTAAAATGGCCATTAAACAGTCCCACATGGTTGGATTTATTTTGAGTTGTGCTTTCATGCAACCTTGTCAAAGACCTCATGCAATATCACTTTGAAAGTTATTTTCTGTTTACTACACAAACATTGTAATATAACTGTTAATACTATTTATATATTTGAAAGGTATAAAAGGTAGGAGTTAAAAAAAAACCTCTATGTGTAGATATTAACTCAGAACTTACAATATACAGGGAGAAGACATGTTGCAATACAAGCTAATTCTAGCTGCTCAGTAACCTCTGGAGTTTTTAAAGGGACATTTTCCTGTACTTTTTCAAATAATGATGTTTAAAAATTATCTTGACACGAGCGTCATATACTTTTGCAAAAGGATGGTTGTTTGTGGGTAAGCCCTGGGCCCATCCTTCCTATTTCTGTAGTATGCTGCAGCTTTAATCAGAAAGTCCATGGTTGCTGCTTCCTGATCTCCGAGTTACTCTTTCCAAATTGTCTTCTTACACTGTTGCTGAAGGTCATTCTGTACACGTAATGGAAACTGATTTTGCCAAGCTCTTACAAGGTGGTTCATCTATCGATGGCATCCGCATTTGGTATCTTTTACACTTCAACCAAAAATTTATTAGGTATTTTTCAATGCTAAGTCTTGCCTTTTATTTTTTAATTTCACTGCCAAGTTTGCAGTGGTTCTAAGTGAATCTGTGGGCATTTTAGCCTGTGGTCTTGCCAGATCTTTGCGAATTACAATGCATATATGTCTATTTATTCAATATCTGTCATATAATATCTATTTGGAAGAAGAAACTTTCTCTTGTAGTGCCTCTTGACAAAGCACAATTTCCCGCCTTTTTTTTTTTTTGTGAAATGAAAAAAACAAATTGTGTTTTATTGCAGTATCAACAATGTGAATAAGGATTAACATATTGTAAATGTTCTTTTTTTCCATGTAAATCAACTATCTTTGTTATCACTAAGTGATAATTAATTTTTAACTTATGTGCATTGTTAGGCTGTTAGAATTTTTTGGTTGTTAAAATAAACGCATTCAATAAATATGACTTCGTTTGTCAAGTATTTTACTGGGCATTGCCTTCTTTCCCATTTAATTTTTCATGCAGAGAAGACCTGGTTGAGTCTAGGGAAAATCTGTACCCTTATTTTAGAAACAAGACAGTGGTACCCACAATTACAGATGTTTAAGTCCTGTACAATGCATGGCTTTAATTGCACATGTGAATGTATGTGTGTCTCTGTGTGTATATAAACACATGCATGCTCACATCCTGGAGTTGGCAACTGGGAAAGTCATTTATCCAATCGTTCTATTGTATACAAACAAAACTAAATGTATAAAGATACACTTATGGGCTGCTTCTTTATTTTTCTAGTGAATATTTTCTGTTTATAATTAAAAAACCACAAATGACTGCACGTCAGGAAACTTTTGGAGCACATATGTCCATGGTTAATGGACATAATAAAAGTCTTTTATATTTAGAGCTAGGGTACCATAATGTGTGCATAGAGGAATGCTGGAAGGATTGATGTATCTGAGAAATGTGTGAAAATGATTTTTTAGAAAGTGCTTACAATGGAAAAAATTGTTCAAAAGACTAAAGTTAATAAGGAAAGAGCAAGTGCTTCACTTCTTCAACTGGCAAAAAGAGTCAATTAAAAAGTGATTTTGTCTTCTTTTGACATTATGTTTTTTCTGTTTTTTTTTCTTTTTTCATTTTCCTGCATTTGGGTTACATACAGATGTAACTTTCCTCAGTTTCACTTGCCCTTTTATCCATAGTAGTTAAGAGCCCATGATGCAGATATGTTTTAAGGACAGTTGGTGGATACGATGCTTGCAGAACGGCAGACAGCTCCAAAGCACAGAGTACTAACAGTTTTTAAAGAGCAGCTAGAGGTTCAACACAGGATGAACATGTTATCTATGTAAATGAATTCTGTGTTTAGGGTAAAAAACTAGGAAGGAACGCATTTGTGAGATAATTTTACTTTTAGCATAAGTAGCTTCCACCTTCATGAGGTTATATTTTTAGAGGTCAAACTTCATCAGAGACAACAAACTCAAAAGTGGGAGGCTCTACCCACAGGTGAATTGGCTTCTGTCTAGAATGTGGTTTCTGTGCTGGTGACTTCTGTTTTTAAGAAAGCAAAGTAAGAAATTTCTTGACTAAAGAGAAAGACATGTTATGGCATCTCAGACCCATCACTTCATGGGATGAGTTTTGTCTTTGCTTACCCTCTAGAGGACATATTTGCATTTACACTAATATTTATTTCCCTTTCTGGAGAATTTTAAATACGGATTAAAAATTCCCTACATTTTTTCAAAAGGTCAATCATGCCATAATCAGACAGTAACCATTTATTAAACATGTTCTCTATATCAGATCATTTACTAGGAATTGCAGTGACAGAGGGAAATGTATGACTTAGTGCTCTCCCCTCAGGGAGCTTATAATTTGTTGGAAAGGCATGATGTAAATCCAGGAAAAATGAAATTGTCATAAAAAGGTTGTCTTCAGAGATTTATTTGTTTAATGGCTGGTACAAACATGTAATAGAAATAATGCGAGCTAGAATGATCTTGGAAGGTGGATCATTTATGATTAGGTTTAGCTCATATAATAGGGGGAAAAAAGCACAAGGTTAGTAATGTCCCAAACAAGGAAAAAGTTCATGTTTCTCACATGGAAGAAATTGCCGAGATAAGATGGCTTTGTGCAGTTGCCAGAGACTCACTCCTTCCAGCTCACAGCTCCACGTTTCCCCGTGTTCATTCCTGTTCCCTCCAGATAACTTACAATATTCGATGTATAAGCTATGTTAGTAGTTGTTATACTGTATTGTTTAGGGAAGAATAAAAGTCTGTACGTGTTCAGTACATGTACAGGAAACATCCTTTTTAAAAAATATTTTCAATCTGCAATTGGTTGAACTCAAGAGAGGCTGGCACATGTTTCAACTGTTCCATTAATTCCAGAGAAAAGGAGAGTGGCTAATTGGAAGGCAGTTAACAGCCTCTGCCACAGAAGGGATTGATAAGATGTTGAAAATAGTAAATACGAAGAGGATAAGCAAAGAGGCATGTTTGTCCTGCTGCTACTCCCTGTAGCTTGCACCGCTTCCTTCTCACCCTGAGTTCCTTTATGGCTAACTTGGATAAGTCCAAGCATCACTTCTTCCAGGAAGCCCTTCCTGATCTGCTCTGCTTGTGCGATACAAATCCTTCTAAGCTCCTGTAGCTCCCAGCGTATTCCACTGTGGCAGAGCTTGTGGCATATTGTGGTTACTGTGTTAAGTGTCTAATCCCCATGAGCCCTTGAGACCTGCAGCTGAATCCCAGTCACTGGG